CTCTCTCTTTATCATTAGTTCGATAGATCATTTCTCCTCCTTCCTGTAGTAGATGCCTGTTTCTCCTTCACTTATTTAGTTTTGATAGAGGCAGCTTCCTCAGAAAGCTACTGTATATAGTAGGTAAACATTTTAAAATACTGCCTGAAAATGCTTTCCCTCTAGAGTTGATGCCTCCAATTTAAATTAGTCCCTCATCTGACTCCCTTACTTTCTCATATTAGTAATGACCACAATTTGTAATTACATGTTAATTTACTTGCAAAAGTTTCCATTTTCCCCATTAAACTATTATGATTCTGGAAGGCAGGGACAGTATATTATTTCAACCACAGTGCATGGGACAGTGCCTAGTACAAAGCAGCTGTTCAAAATAAACTGGCTGATTAAATAACCAAATGAACACATAAATGAATATGATAATTAGATTCTGCTTTCTGGTCTCTGGTAAATTTCTGTGTTAATATCAAATAAAAATACAAAATCAATAAAAGAGAAAAAAGAAACACAAATTTTAGTTATGACTTAATACAGTTTTGATTTTTTTCTATTACACTGCTCTTGATGCATATACCAATATATCTATGCCAAAATGATGAAAATCCAATCGAAGATAAAAAAGTAGGAATAAGGTGAATTTTCCAATGTCACCTAATTCCTAGAGACTAAATTCTGCAAAGGCCAGTACACCTTGCCCTAAAAGGAGGCTAATTTTATATAAATAGGGGTAATTTGAGTTCTGAACATTGCTGGTTGGTCTCCAGCTTTAGAGAATTCCCCAACTGAAATGAATTTCAGTAACATAAAATTATAGTGAAGTATACAGACACGATCTTTCATTTAATTCCATGCTCTTATTCTTTAAGATAATATCATTAGCATTACTTGCCTTCCAATCCATATTCTATTCCTCCTAACATTTATTAAACTGAAACCAAATCACTGCTACTATGTAACCTGGGCTGTCTGCCAGGATGAGGAAACAATGCACCATCATAAATACAGAAAATCGCAAGCTCTGTACTCATCCTACAGGTGAGCAGAGTGAAAAGACAGTATTAAGTAGGATTTGGATAATATCTCTGAATTAAATGCCATATACCCTTAAGAGAAGGGTCATAAACCTTTACCAAGAAGGCTCATTTTCTAAGGGTTTATCTTTATCAAAATTACAAATAAGTTTAAGGAGTTGACCTAATATTAACAGACTCCAGTTTCCTCTCCTCCTTTTTTTCTTCCTTAGAAGTACATAAAGCTCTTTTAGCAAATACATTATTACTTCCCAATTCTAAATAACACATTTGTACTGCTACTTACTGAATTTTAGGTATTTTTAGCAACTTTTTACTATGAAGGATAAAGCACTATCTTTCTTCCCTGTCTCTACCATAGTCTCAATCTTCCTAATATACTAAAAATTTGGTTTTATCAATACTTGTATTTTATAATACATTATTTCATTTACCCTGGAATTGCTGTTTCTCATTTGCTTAGTTTCTACCAGTTGTCTAATCTTTTTTAAAAACTTAATTCTTATTAAATCATAACTGTATACATATATGGGGTACAATGTTATGATTTGATGATATACAATGTGGAATGCTTAAATCAAACTGATTAACATAACCATCACACTTACTTTTTTTGTGGTAAGACATTTATAATATGCTCTTAGTTGTTTTGAAATGTACCCTTGCATTTTGCACATTAGGTGAGATCCCACCAAAGACCCTCCCTCCACTTGTCCTCCTCACCCCTCCTTCTTTCTGGACTATATTTTTTTTATCATTCGCATGAATGTGTAAGTGATTATATATTGGTTTCATAATAGTATTGAGTACACTGGATACTTCTTTTCCCATTCTCGAGATACTTTACTAAGAAGAATATTTTTCAGCACCATCATAAAATCTCCATAGTATTCCATCGTATACATATACTACAATTTGTTAATCCATTCATGGGTTGATGGGCATTTGGGCTGCTTCTACAACCTGGCAATTTTGAATTGGGCTGCAATAAACACTCTGGTGCAAATGTCTTTTTGTAAACTTATTTTTGTTCTTTTGGGTAGATACCTAGTAATGGCATTGCAGGATCAAACAGTAGGTAAACTTTTAGTTCCTTGAGAATTCTTCATACTTTCCAAAAAGGCTTAGTTTGCAATCCCACCAACAGTGGAGAAGTGTTCCTTTCTCTCCATATCCCTGCCAATATATGCGGTTTTGGGATTCTATGATATGGGCTAATCTTATTAATGGAGCTAGGTGATATATCAAGTTGTTTTGATTTACATTTCTCTGATAAAGATGGGCATTTTTTCATGTGTTTGTTGGCCATTCACATGTTATCTTCAAAGAAGTTTCTGTTCAAGTCTCTTGCCCACAAAGAAATGGGGTTATTTGTTCTTTTCTTATCAATTTGAGTTCTCTATAGATTTTAGTTCTGAGACCTTTGTCAGCATCATAACCTCTAAAAAAATCTCCCATTCTGAAGGCTGTTTGCTTTATTTGCAGTGCCCTTAGCCATCATGCAGAAGCTTTTTAGTTTGATCAGATCCCAGTAATATATTTCCATTTGTTAAATCAGTGGTTCTCATCCTTCCTAATGTCAAGACCCTTTAATACAGTTCCTCATGTTGTGGTGACCCCCAAACATAATGGTAAGCCATGTTTTGAAGTCTGGTAACCTCATCTTCTTTTTTTAAATTTTGCTTTCAACTAGCTTTCAATCATCTTAGTTTGAAGTTTTTTTTTTTTTAATTTTCTTTTCCTCCTTTAGCAATTCTCTTGACCTCAGCCTCCCGACTAGCTGGGACTACAGATGCCCACCACAACACCCAGCTTTTTTTGGTAGAGATGGGGTCTCACTCTGGTTCACTCTGGATCAGGATGGTCTCAAACCTCTGAGCTCAGGCAATCCATCCACCTGGGCCTCACAGAGGGCTAGGATTATAGGTGTGAGTCACCACGCCCAGCCCTCATCTTTTAATACTCTCATTCACTCTAAATTTTAATCATTTCACTTCCTATAAGAACTCCGCAAACCCCCACCCAACCAGCTTTTTGTCATATTCCAATCTGGCCTGCTTGCCCCTTGAAAATATACCATTTGGGACTATAACATAACCATAATGTTAGGGATTCCTATTTTCCTGCTGGATCTCATTTCGTGGCTTCTATGTAGTTTCCCTTAATTTAAATCCCTTGTTTTGGTAGACCCATCTTCCAGTGGCTTCCAAAGGAAAAGCATACAAGAAGCCAATTTTGTGAGATGTTCTATTTGACTATATTTTTATATAATCCCACACTTGATTCATAGTTTGTGTATAGGGTTCTATGCTGGAAATAATATCCACTAAAATTTTTTAAATTTAATTTTTAAAATAGATATATAATGTATGTATGTACAAGGTACACAGTGATGTTTCTGTATATATATATTTAGTGATCAGATCAGGGTTATTAGCATATCTGCCATCTCAAACATCAGTTCTTTGTGTTGGGAACATTCAATATCCTTCTACTTATCTAGAACTGTTACTGTTAACTATAGTCATCCTGCAGAGGGACACAACACAAGAATTTACTCCTTAAATCTAATTTTAATTTTCTATCCTTTTAACAAATTTCTCCCCATTATCCTTCCTTTCTAGGCTTTAATAGTCTTTGTTTGCCTACATTTTATTTCTATGAAATCAATTTTTTCCACATATAAATGAGGACACGTAGTGTTTAACTTTCTGCTCCTGGCTTATTTCTCATAATGTCCTCCACTTCATCCAAGTTGCTGTGAATGCCAGAATTTTATTTTTTTTATGGCTAAATTCCATTGTGTATGTATACTACATTTTCTTTATCCATTCATCTGTTGTTGGATACCTAGTTTGATTACATATTTTGACTACTGTGAATAGTGCTGCAATTAACATGGGGGGGGGAAGATGTCTCTTTAGTGTATTTCCTTTCTTTTGGATAAATATATAGTAGTGGGATTGCAGGATCACAAGGGATTCTTTTGAGGGATCTCCATTCTGTTCTCTATGTATATATAAGAATTCCCCTTTCTCTACATCCTTGTATTTGTTAAATTTGGTCTTGATGACAGCTATCTTAATTGGGGTGAGATGATACCTCATTGTAGTTTTGATTTCATTTCCCTGATCAGTGATGTTGAACCCTTTCCCACCCTCATATATTTATTGGCCCTTTGTATGATGTCTTTTGAGAAATGTCTTTTTCGATCACTTGCCCATTTTCAATTGTACTGATAGGTTTTGTGCTATTGAGATGTTCTTTTTATATTCTGGATATTAATTTCCTGTCAGACAAGTTGCAAATATTTCTCCCATTCTGGAGATTCTCTTCATTCTATTGATTGTTTCCTCTGCTGTACAGAAACTTTTAGTTTGACATACTCCTACTTCCTTATTTCTGCTTTTCTTTGCCTGTGACTTTGAGGTCTTATTCATAAAATATTTCCTAGTCCAATGTCCTGAAACGTTTTCCCTATATTTTTGTCTACTAGTTTCACAAGTTTAGTGTTCCATTTAAGTCTCTGATTCAGTTTCCCTAGCACCATTTATAGAAGAGTATCTTTCCTCCAGTGAGTGTTCTTGGCACTTTTGTCAAAAATCAGTTGGCTGTGGATACATGGATTAATTTCTGGGTTTGCTGTTCTGCTGATCTGTGTGTCTGTTTTTAATGCCAGTACCATGTTGTTTTCATTACTACAGCTTTGTAGTTTGGTAGTGCAATGCCTCCAGCTTTGTTTTTTCTGCTCAGGATTGCTTTGTCTATTGACAATTTTTTGTGATTCCATATAAATTTTAGGATTGTTTTTGTTTTTGTGAAGAATGTCATTGGTATTTTAATAGGGAATGCACTGAATCTTTAGATTGTTTTGGGGAGCATAATTATTTCAACAGTATTAATTCTTCTGCTCTATGAGCATGAGCTGTCTTCCCATTTGTATCCTCTTTACCTTCTGACACAAAAAGGGGAAAAAAAATTAATGTGCCAATGTCATAACAAGGCTTGAGAAAAGAACATTTCACACATGCATGTGAACAACCAATCATGTTTATGAACTACAAAAGGATTCATCCCTTTAATTTTTTTCACCAGTGTTTTGTATTATATAGTTCTCCTTGCAGAGGTCTTTTTACCTCCTTGGTTGAATTTATTCCTAGATATTTTATTTATTTATTTTTTTGTAGCTATTGTACATGAGATTGCATTTCTTTTTTTTTTTTTGCCCAGGGCTGGGTTTGAACCTGCCACCTCTGGCATATGGGGCCAGCTCCCTACTCCTTTGAGCCACATGCGCTACCTGGGATTGCATTCTTGATTTCTTTTTCAGCTAGTTTGTGGTTCTTGTATAGAAACACTTGATTTTTTGTTATGCTGATTTTGTATCTTATAACTTAATTTGTTTATTCTAAGATTTTTTTTGGTAGAGTCTTTGGTTATTCTATTCATATGTATGAACATATGGTCTGCAAATTGTCCCTATTTGATTTTGTCCTTTCCATTGAGGTGTTCTTTCTTTTCTTGCCTAATTACTCTGGGTTTTCTCAAATTTTTGAAAGCACTATTCCATTTTCTTTTGGCTGTGTTTTAGATATCTGATGTCTGCTGATTCATAACTTTTTCTATGCAACTTTATACCTTCTACTCTCTCTAGAAGCTTCTAAGATGTTTTCTTTATTACCAGCATTCTAAAATTTCACATAGATAGATGCTTTCAATCTGGAAAGTGTGTACTTTGGTTCTTGAATTATATGGCAATTTCCTCCTCTCTAACATTTCTCTCTTTCTAGATTTCTTGCATTTAATTCTATCTCTTTTTCTTTGCTTTACTTTTGCATATTTCTCTACACATTTTCTTTCATCTTTACTGTTTTTAACATTTAAACTCTTTTGTTCTCTTTATGTTTACAATAATTTTTTCTCATATATCTGAAAAGAGTAGATTTTTTTCTTACCCTGCAGTTTCTACTTCCTTCAAACTACCTTTTTCTATTTGTTTAAATATCTTCCATGTTAGAGGCTGCCCTCACCTCTCTAGTTTTCTGCCATTGATAATCAATTAGTTGCTAAAAAAATGATTAGGAGTTGTAAGAGGTGATGGGTCACAAAATGTTCTTGAACTTCTTAGAATGTTCTTGTTCCATTTTGATTTTTCCTTGAGAGTTTGAGCCTTTAAAAAATGAAGCTCTTTATCACAGAGTTGGTTTCCAACTAAAATTTAAAAAGAGGGGAAACACCTTGCTGTTTAATCCATAATGTTTAATAGGAATGCAAACATTAAAAAAGTGTATTTATGCTATAATTTTAAACATAAGAAATATGGGTGCATATGAACGAGGACAATTTCTCTTTAATATTGTGTGTGCACAAATAAAAATCAGGAGGAAGTGGAATTTTTCATTAGTTAAAAATATGTAAATACCTTTAATCCCACAACATTTATAAAGTTTAATGAGACAGCTACATTTTTCTTTTCTGCTCCCAATTGCAAAAGACCACACTTATTACATTATTTTCTATTTTATCTTTATCATATCCAGAAGTGTGCAATATGAATGTTTAAGACACTTGATATTTACCTGAGTCAATAAAAATAGAACAGTTGTGAACTCATGGGTAAGAAATTTCACACTGAAAAGAGAAAAATTATTCCGAGGCATATGTGTTCCATTTCTGTGTTGATGTATAACCTCGCTATTACATGGACATAACTGACTTATGATGTAAATGCTAGAAGTCATACTAGCTAAAGCAAAATTTCTCTTTTACTCTTTTTTCCTCCAAATAGAATAGCCAAAAGTAGAAAGTATGAAACTGGGCTGAATTAAACTGGGTCTACATCCATCTTTTCATATTGAATGGGGGAAAAGATGTAGTCTATGGAATCTCCCAAACATATCTGGTATCTTAACACAGGCAACTCATATGACAGTGTTTAGAAGCAGTTTTTCAACGATATATTTTCCTAGTTATGGAAACAATAAGATAGTCAAAGTTAAGTTTGTAACTTTGCACTTATCTCGACCAGTATGCTGTGCTCTGTTTTTATGTTCCCAAATTATTTTTCCTTATTCATTTGTCCAATCAAACTCCCATTTCCCAATTTAATTATGTTTATTTCCAGGTTTTTACCTTTTGGTAAACCTGTCACTTTTTTACCCCCCCAAAATAAAATAATTGGATTCAATCCCAAAGCATTCCCTTTGATTCTTCTAACACAGTTTTTGTAGGCATCTTTGAAATCCAGAGGGCTCAGTAAAAACACTGCTTAATGAGAAAGCACCTGCTGGCATGGTGTACCTTAGGGAAACTTTAAAACATTCATTTTGCAAGTATATATTTAACCTTTAAATGAAAATTTTATAAGTACTCAGCAAAGCAAGCATAATCATTGAGATTTTTGTCATTTCCATTGAAATTTTAAGTGCCTAATTAAAGTCTGAATAAACCAAATTCATAACAGATAAGCTTTACATATTATACATATAATAACTACAGATAATACAATCAGAAATGACAGTGCAACTATTAAAGACTTGTGTGAGAATTCAAGTTCTTTTTTAAGAGACGATATATCAAATATTTTTTTCTCTAACACAAAAAAGTGCTTTTCAAATGATTCACATACAATGGAGATCCTATAAGGTTATATTTTTCAAATGCCAGATAGAGATCTACTAATAAGTAACCAATTAGGACTGTGGCCAGAATTTTAGAAAATAGAGTATGAACTACCAGACTGCACTGACTAGTTTCAGGTGTTTATGCAGTTAAAAGTAACACTAGATACATTGGTTATTGTTGGCCACAGTCCAAGAAGTTTAAAACTATTACCTTAAGGGTAAGTTGTTTAAAATCTGGGTTTCTAGGAGACACTTCTGAAGAAGTGTTTATGTTATATTGTAATGTTTTAAACATAGCAAGAGCTATACTAATATTTATATCATGAATGATTTAAAAGTTCAACTGTGCAAGTTACTCGTCTATGTAATTTAAATACATATGTACTAACTGCCTTTCACAGAACTCCCTGCCAGAAAGAGCCCCCCTACTATATAAGCATGATCCCAAGCTCATATTACTAAATATATCACAGGGTTGGATTAACTTTAAGGGTAGGCCCTGTTTACTTCAGAGGATGACTGACTGTAAAGGTGAGTGAGGTTTAAAATAAATCCAGGACCCCCTTTTATTATAAAATACAAGATCCCTATGACTAAACTCTCTCAAGGCCCACCCTCTTCTATTACTATAGCTTTTATTATATTCATTTCACCAGAGGAGGTAATGATAACTAGTCCTTTCTCCTCAACTCCCATTTGAAAAATGGATGACAATTTATTGGAGTATAGTGGACCAACAACTTCCTTACCATGAGGTTCAGCAGCAGAGTTACGCACAGCTTCTGACATTGCAGCATTTATAAAATTTAGACATACAACCATAAAAGCAACGAAATGATCCTGAGCAAGCAATTGCAATTATATAATCCCATGCCAGCACAGCCTACCCAAGTATTACTATACTTTCCTTACTTGGTATTGCCTTTTTTAAAAGGTTAGGTGAGATGAGCTCTTTTATGTCCTGTCCTAAAACATTAAAAAGGAGGGGGGAAGTGGCCTACCCAGGGGAAAGGATAACTTTATTGCAGAGTTTATTTTCTAGAACATCACTGTCCAATAGAAATATGAGAGTTGAAAACAGAATTGTATATTAATATGTATTAGTAAAAAAGTTACATTAAATATTCCACCAGTATATTCTAATTATTATTTCAACACACAAGCAACATAAAAAATCCATTGAGTATTTTATACTTACAGCACATCTCAGTTCAGACTATTTATATTTCAGTGCTCATTAGCCACATGGCTAGTAGCTATGCTTTGGACAGTGAGGTTCTACAAGCTACTTAAAATAAAATAAAATAAAATGCAAAAGTAAATGACTTCCACTCTTAGAGTTTGATAAAACTAAAAGAAGAGAGATTTGAACCACAAAGACCAACACAATCAGTATGGAATTATAATCTGATGTGTTTCATTTCTACTAACTATACTGATTACAAACACCTACATTCCGTTTAATAATGGAAAATAACTTTGTGAAGCCTTGAATGAATGTTCTTTCATTCTTGGTCTCACCTGAATGATGGTAAAAATGTGTTAAGCTAGTATAAAGAGGAAAAGAAAAAAGATGAGAAATAGTCACAAATGCTAGAATATGGCCCATTTACTAAGAATGACTTTTACTAAATATCTCTGATAAATGATTTGTATTCCCTTACTTTGAAGTCTAAGATGTGGAGACGTGAAACCAAGATGGGAAGTCTTGGTGTTACTTTTGTTTCTTTATAATACAAGGATGATTAATAGAATCTATGTATTTGTTTCTTACAATGATTACATTTAAAGCTACAACAAAGCACCAGTTCACTTACTATGCCCATAAAAAAAACTTATTATGAACATGGTTGTGGGGTAGAGCCAGACTAGGAGCTGTAACTTTTGTCAGGAGTCACAGGAGAAAGGGAGATGAGGAGGAAAAATAAACCCTAGAAGAGGACTGACAGCCTCCACACCCCGTCTCTTTCCTAGGGTATGACTAGGATGTGTCCCCAGCTTTGGCTTTATTCTGCCTGATTGCCTTATGATTTTTAAGGACTTGTCACATTTTGTTTCCTAATACTGTTACAAATATATTCTTATAAAAAATACTGTCACTTTTTTGAATTTTGTGAAAAGAGGAGGAAGAACCTACCTTAGTCAACAAGATTCTTCTTTTCCTGATAAGCAGTTTAAAATGCAATAAATTATATCTTATTTCTATATAATGCAGAATGTAAATATTAAACCATAATACATAAAATAATTAGGGAAGAAGTAGTTACAATTATTAACAATATAATTAAAAGATCTAATTGGATTTACTTTTAAAATATTAAAGTGAATGTCTTAAATGCTTAAAAAATTAATATCATCTAAATGAATTTCCAGGTTAACATACAAAAGAAAATTTATTATAAATGTATTAATAAGTTAATTACATTTGTGGTTCATGTCTAAGACTT